CTAACCAACAACGAGGCCATGGCAGAGCAATTCCAGTTAAACTGTAACCTGGGATGGGTCAGCAGACAGGCCCCAGAGCTTGAGGAACAGAACAGCAGCAATCAAACCCTGCTGGGAATGGGAGCAGCTCCTGGAGCTGGGATTGCAGCCAGGACGGGCTCACCTGCTCCAGGTAGGGCAAAATCCAGCTGGGGCTTCAGATCCTTCCCATGGGATCATCAGCAACCATCACAGGATGGGTTGGGCTGGAAGGACCTTAAATCCCACCCAGTGCCACCCCTGGATTTGTGGGGTTTATGGGTGGAAAGCAGGGAGAGCAAGGGGAGAGGGTGGCAGTGTCCCCTCGTTCCCTTTTTGGTGTTTCTGTTGGGGTTTTTTATTGAATCCCCACATTTTTGGGACAGGTGCTTGCTCTTGGTGTGGCCAMTGACCCTGCAGTGACAATGCTTTTGTGTCTCTCATTTTAAATTCTGTTTTCTGAGTTGATGGTGCTGATCCTTGCACTTGTGAATTTTATAGCAATGAGAATCTGGGGTGCGAGCTGAACTCCAGGATTCTAAAACCTGGGGGCAAAACACAAATCCCAACAATCCCTCCAGCCTCCCTGTGTTAGCTGGGATGTGTCATTGGTTTTTTTCCTGCTTTAGGAGGATGCAGGGGATGGGTTTCAGTGTAACCTGCTCTGGTGCATCCTTGGAGAAGGGAGAAGGACTCCAGAGCGGGGCCACGTGACACRGCCCTATTTCTCTGCCCTATTTTCTCCCAGCCCAGGTTTTACTCTTGAGCTGTCAGGTCAGATGAGGATTCAGTTCTGCGGCCAAAATAGAAATTAGCCATGTGTGGTAATCCATTAATCCCTGGAAATAATGCCATTTATCGGCGTTTTGGGGAGCTGGGCTGTCCTCGTGACGCTTCCGTGGATGGTGGTGATCCCATGAAGGGCTGTCTGGAATGCCATGGGCTGCCCTGACCCTGAGCTGACCCCTCTGGAATTGTGTTTGCGTTCCTTGGATGGAGAGGCTGTGGCTGCCCCTGGATCCCTGGCAGTGCCCAAAGCCAGGTTGGACATTGGGGTTTGGAGCAGCCTGGGACAGTGGGAGGGGTCCTGGAGTTGTAATAAACTCCAAAAAAAATCAGTGCACGGGGTCAAACCTGGAGCTCCTGAGCCAAATAGAATAGGATCATGGAATCTGAGGCTGTAAAGCCCTCCCAGCCCATCGAGTCCAGCCTGTGCCCATCCCCACTCTGTCCCCAGCCCAGAGCACTCAGTGCCACCTCCAGGAGTTCCTCGGACACCTCCGGGTTTGGGGACTCCAAACCTCCCTGGGCAGCCCTTTCCAAACTTTTCCATGAGGAAATTCCCCCTCATGTCCCCCCTGCCCTKCCCTGGCCCAKCCTGAGGCTGTTCCTCTGTCYCTTTGCTGTGTCCCTGGGATCAGAGGCTGCTCTGTGCATATCCAGGGGATGAGGGCAGGATGCAGCAGGAATGAATCCATAAATGCTCTCTATGTGGGGTTTTAAAGGCAATTCCTATTTCTTTTTCTCCAGGAGGGGCAGCAGTTGCAGTGTGATAACAACAATTATCTGGATCTTTTCCTCTCTCCCTGGATCTTTTCCTTTCCACTTTTCACATCAAGAGGCTTCTTCAGGAGCATGTGCTGGTCCTTCCTCGTTCAGCTGTGCTTTTCCTCTGCCTCTTCTCCCAGGAGAGCAGCTCCTGTTCTTCCTTCCCTGTTTTACCAGGCTGGATCATGACACTGAGCCTTTGTGAGAAAGGGAAATGTGGGAAATGCTGCTGTGCTTGCAGTGATGGGGAATTTTTGGCTCAAAAAATGAGATTGTTGCAGGGCTGTGAAGGCCATAAATGTAAACAAATATAAATATAAAGAATATAAATATAAGGAATATAAATATAAAGAATATAAATATAAGTATAGATATAAATATAAATATAAAGAATATAACTATAAAGAATATAAATATAAATAATATAAATCTCACAAGATTTTTATGGGATTGTAATTTATTCACCTCCCTGTCCACCCCGGTGTAAACAGAAGTGAGAGGATGAGAGGAAATGGCCTCAAGTTGTTCCAGGGAAGGTTTAGRTTGGAAATTAGGGAGAATTTCTTCATGGAAAGAGTTGAACAGGCTGCACTGGGCAGGGATGGATTTTAAACCCTCCATCCCTGGACGGTTTAAAATCCCTGTGGATGTGGCTCTTGGGGACCAGGGACAGTGGTGGCCTGAGCAGTGCTGGGGAATATTTGGATTTGATGCTCTGAAAGRTCTTTTCCAGCCATAATTCCATGATTCTCTGCCTGTTCCTATGGAATGCTCAGTCCTGCTGCAGCTCCTGGATTTCCTGGAGTTTTCCTGGTCCCCTCTTTGGGAAGTGGAAACACAAAGGGCTTTGGCCACGAGTGAGCACTGGGAATTTCCATCATCTCAGTGTCTGTGTTTATTCCTGATAAACCACGGGACAGGGTGGAGAGTTCCAGGGTTCCACCCTTTATCACATCCAGGGATTCCAGGGTCTGGCAGGGAACTGGAAAACCCTCCTGACAGGGCTTG